CTCTGGTTTTCTTTCTCTCCCTCTCTTTCTTTCATTCTTTCTCCCTGTCCTATCCCCCAGTCATGTCTGTCCCGTTTGTAGCAACCGAAAATAAAATAAATACATAATTATAATAAAGGTCAATCAAATGGACCAAGGCCATGATGATCCACTTGGTAAAATAAATCCGCTTGGCATCTTTCTTGGCCTTAAGACAACAATTCTGATGGCTAAAGATCCAAACGGGACACAAAAAAAAAAATACACAAAAGCGGCAACTGAACAGTAAGCAGCTACAAGCTTAAACAACGACAAACGCAACTTAAAAACATAAAATGCTGGGTCAAAGACTCAGGACGACAACACAACTGGTCATAGTGGGACTTCCAGAGTGACCTAAAAGATATCAGGCGCAGTGACAGTAGTGAAGAGGTGCACATGAAGATGACCTTGAAGGGAAGGTTGTAAATATTTACAAGTTTTCCTTTTCATTGTCATGTTTGTTGGAACCTTTTGATTGCAGCTATTCTACAGCTCAGCATAATTATATCATTTATATCTAACATACCGGCGAGTTAAACTGACTGCATCGCTGATTAAATAACACAAACTACTCGTTTAATTAACAGCTATGTCTAACAGAGGACTGTGATGACAAAAAAGGTGAGACAGTCTCAAATTTTGTAACACTAGGTCCTCAAAACTGGAAAAGTTTCCTCCCTCATAGGCGATGATTTCACAGCCAAAAACGATCGGAGAATACGAAAGACAGAAAACGCACGAGGAAAGATTGATGAAGAGATGGAAAGAGATGGCTCTATTTATTAATATTAGTAAAGCAATTTTCTGTTTTGGCCTCTGATCTCTGATATTGATTCCTGCTTTCTCTTTCCCATCATTCATGCAGTAATCAAATCATCCATCTAATGAAACATCCATCCAGTAAGGCCCTCTTCTCTACCTCCTACAACACAGTAATTTTTCCATTAATCAAAGCCCATAAAGAGATTCTCATCTTTCCTCTCGTATTGATTGCAGTGTCTCTTTCTGTTCATCCAGATTCTAATCAAATAAGTCATCACAATAACTGTGTTGACAGGAGAGACTTCCTCTGTATCATTAGTTTAATTTTCTCTGATAAAATAATAAAATTGTTTTTCTTCACTCCACCTGATGTAAGAATATGAAAACGTGACAAAGTCAAGTTAAAAAACAAAAGAAAGCTCAAAGCTCAGTAAGGTGTTAACATCAGAAGAGTTTTAATGTTTCTTCCTTCCAAGCACGAGCTATCCAAGAACATTGTTTTTCTGGTCACTCAAATTTGTGGTATTACTTGGGATGGGTATCGTTTAGGTTTTATCCGAACCAAAAACCAAAAACCTCTCATGTTCAGCTGTTTTTTTCTGCAGCTATGGGGCATATATGGTATCACTCTTGGCTGGAAGCAGTGCTTAAACAATGGAAAAAAACACAAACTTTGTCCAAAAACCTCTCATGTTTAGCTGTTTTCCACTTTTTCTTTGGTCATTTTAGCCTTTTTGGCCAGGGTGAAGGGAGTATCTGCCATCAAACAAGAAGACAGCCGCTATAACTACAACGGTGTTTGCTAGTTCACCTTACATACATTAATGTAATAACGTGGTTAGCCTACTCAACGTAAATTACACACGAACAACATGAAGCTACTCATGCAGAGAAGAACGGCTGCTGCTGCCATCATCATCCGTCATCATTTCTGCTACACTGGCAGGGCTAGGGGCCAGGACTCTACTCTTCGGATTTTTGGGGGATGTTGCTAACTCCGGGTCCGATAACAGGCACCACACCCGCAGTAGATGCGCTCGGTGTGAGGTCTCGCAGCAAGCTATCAAATACGGCGCATTTCTCGGCTTTTAAAAAAAACGCTATGCTTCGCCAGGTGTTTCATCAGATTTGAGGTGTTACCTCTTTTGCACAGTGTCACAGTATCACCTTAAAGCACTTGTTGCAGGCTGCTGAGTTTGCATCTTTTGCTGTGAAGTACAGCCAGACTTTTGACCGCTTCGCCTTGGGCATTTTTAATCTGTAGCTCTGCTCTAAAAGAACGTACGCACCTGCACCCGCCTACTATCCTCGGAAACGTAAAATGATTGGCTAGAATCTAAAGTGTATCACAGCTCAGGAAAAAAAGCACCGAAATAAAGCACCGAAATAAAGCACCGAAATGTGCGCTGCTTTTCGGTCTGGTTACTACCGTTTATGACAGAACCAGTGCCATCATGGCACCGGATACCGGTACCCATCCCTAGGTATTACTATTCTTGAATTGTACCAAACTGCAACAATTCTTGTTTATTCAAGTAAACAATTTTCTGTTAATTAGAGCTTAAGGGTTTAAGGCCTTTCGAGGTTAAAATTAGTTCTAATCCGGTCCAAGATTTGGTGAAAGGTGAAAGTTATAGAATATTTGATTGGCATTTCATTTAGTTATATCAGATTGAAGTTTTGGAAAAAAGAAAAGTGTGTTGCATGTATTTGTAGCAACCTCTGGAACTTATTGTTCCCACATGCTGGAGTGGAAAGGTGTTGCAGTAGTACGCGAAGTTCCCTTGAAGCACAAAGGGTCTGGGTTTGAATCAACCAGCTGTCTGAGTTTGAAGAGACACTGAGGAGGAGGACTTTTCATCTTTTGCTAAATGTATTTTAAATAACCTGAAAAGCTGGCCTTCCAGCTTTCGGTATTTAACCAGAGCTGCAATATATGCATGTGGCAGAGTCATTCTTTAACATCGTTTGAGTTGACATTGATTTTTTGATAACTTTGCTGAAGGATAGAAATGCAATTCTTTGAAAAGATATTCTTTTTTCCTTCATTTGGTTTTTCAATGATGGCAAATGAGAGCATGGTCTAGCGTATCATTTAATCCTCCCAATACCTGATTACTGTGAAGGTCAGACATATGAAACCATATTCATATTTTTAAACCTTACAGTGACCTCTTGCTCCCTATCGATTGTCATATGGGATGTTGTGTAGCCCACTTATATCAAGAGCTTTGTGCTGATTTAAATTGACTCTATAAAGCTGGGTATACACAGTGTCCCACACAAGCACCATAATCATCAAATCACAGAAATATCTTTCTTTTGTAGTGGCTCCAAAATGGTGTTCCTAAGCAGAAGGCTAAAGGCTAAAGGTAGCCTAGAAAAAAATGTTCCAAATTCTGGATGACCACCAACTCTACCAACCAACAAACAGAAATGCAAGCTTGAAATGATGTAGTGGTTAGTGTAACTACAGCGCTAGTTAGAAAAAACAACAACAACAGAATAGTAACTTATCTCAAGCAGACAGCAGTCAGTAAAATGTGGGAACGTAACAGTTTGGGACACCAACAAGAAGAAAATGTGGCAATAGAAGACGCGTGGAAGCAAAAGGTGGAGGAATTCCAGCTGTGCATCATAGCCCATGACTGACGTGTTAGACAGTATTCATTCATACAGTTTCATTAGACCTAAGTCAGAGAGTTTTTTAAGCTTTGTATTAAACTTGCAACAAACAGAAGAAAGGGTGTAAATGTAGGGCACCAGGAAGTAGAGTAAGTTTAGAAATCCAAATCCTTTAATCCAGGTAGGAGTTACATTTAAAGGCAGCCAGAGGAAGAAAACACTTCCAACAAGGGGTTAAACCCACACCATAAATTAGGACATTAGTAAGAACATCAGGAAAAACACAAGGAGATACTGGGAACTGCTGGAATACTTGTTTTATTACAAACTTACAAATCTGGCTAGTTGTATTTAGGCGAGACAGATTCAGCAGAGGTAAAGCTGAAGAGGACCAGACAAACAATTACAAGGACAATAAACTGACTGAAGGGAAAGGTGAG